TATTATATTATATTATATTATATTATATAACTCTACTAAAGAATACAGAAAGGACACAGACAGAAGGCTTAACAAGAATGAATAATGAAAACTCGTGACTCTCTTCAGAGAATCCAACACCGCTAAACGGTGATTGGTCATTAAATTAAAACAATTCACACGAGACTAATCAATCAACGACCAGTTGGTAAACGATCTCCAGACCACATTCCAAAGCAGCAAAAACAGAAGAAGCAATCAGGGAATTATTGTTTTATTGTTTTCTTTTCTTCTGAGGCTTCTCAGCTTCCCAGGAGAAGAAATCCTAGCGAAGGGATTTTCCAGAAAATTTAGTAGAAACACGTAGACACTTGGCTGGCGATAGTGGGGGAGAACTGGAACGCAGAGAAAAAGGAAAACAATAATTATCTCGTTTGCTTCTCCTCTGTTTTGCTCCTTTGGGGTGTGGTTGGGGGTTGTTTATCAGCAGGTGATTGTTCCATTGGTTTCTGTTGTGAGACGTTTTGACTCAGTGGCCAATCAGGGCCAAGCTGTGTTGGGACTCTGGAAAAAATAATGAGTTTTCATTATTATCTTTTTAGCATTTGGTACGTATCCTTTCTGTATTCTCTAGTATAGTATAGTATAGTATTCTTTAATATATTAAATAATATAATTATTATTATTATTATATTAAATAATATAATAATATATTGTCGTAAAATAATAAATTAGCCATCTGAGAACATGGAGTCAGCTTCATCATTCCTTCCTTTTCCTGGGAACCCTGCAAATACAATGTGGGTGGGAATGCTGAGTCCCTCCTCCATGGCAGGGAGTTTTGGGGTGGAATGATGCAATCCTGTGAGTCTTGGGGCGTTTTGGGAGTGCTTGGTGGTCTCAGTCCTTGCAGCTGCTGTGAAAAACACGCTCACTGTCCTGTGAAAATTAAAAAAAAAGTTTAATAAAGGAAAATAGGACACAAAGTGAAGCAAGAGCCAAGAGCACACCTTTACCTTCAGGGATACCCCTTAAATACCTCTTCCATTACATCATCCTGTTGCATATTCATAGCCCCTTATGCATAATAAACTTTTCTCCAAACTCGTTTACATATCCCAATAATTGTTTAGCACGGCTCCTCCTTGGATCTGGCATTTTGGAGCATGTGCATTCCTTGGTTGTGGTTTTAGCCCTTTTTTTATCATCACCTTCAGTTTTGGGCCCTGTGAAAAATGCGTATTTTATTGATTGATTTTTTTTTTTTGCAAATATTAAAATAAATATTGTATGTGTTATGTTAGAAAGTTATGTTGTATTAGTTTTTTAAGTAGTGTGTTAAATATAGTTTTAGGTTATAACATAATGCTAAAATAGTATTTTGCCCAGAAAGAGGTACCCGGACCGTCCATAACTCTTTGTTTTTATTGTCTTGTATAAGACAATAAAATAATTAATAATAAGAAGACAATAAAATAATTAATAATAAGACAGTAAAATAATTAATAATAATACAATAAAATAATTAATAATAATAATAACTTTCCAACATAACACCTATAGTATTCATTTTAATCTCTGCAAAGAGCCAGTCATATAATATATGCATATAATAATATAATCATATTATATTATATATATATAATCAATCAAATAATAATGCATTTTTCACATTATCCCATCCAAGCAGGCATTTTAACACAAACTTACTTATATCAGCTGTTTCACCAAGCTTAATTAACAACAGAAATAGAAACTAACAACAGAAATAGAAACTATGTCTATATAGCAAAGTTCATTTATATAAATATATAAATATATATAAATATTTATACAAAGAACATTACAGACAGTTCTCACTCAAAATCAGCTCTCTTCTCTGCATTACCCACCATGTGGAACCAGGTCCTTGAGCAAAAGAAATCCCACTGTGAAAAATGACCAGATAATTTTGGTTTTGGCATTTATGTACTTGCTTGTGCACGTTGGTAGCGGTTATAAGTATTTAGAAATAGTATAAATTATAACTATTTTTAGCTGCTTGTTAATATGATGTGATCTATCAGGTTAAGTGTGCGCTTTGTTCGTAGAAATAGCAGTGTGATGAATAAAATATCTATGTATTTTTTATGGAAATAACAGTGGGATGAATGTACTGTTTAATAGACCTTGGCAAAACATAAGATTTGAAAAAAAAAAAAGGGTTTTCGTGTGACTAAAAACAGCGTAAGGCCATCCACTGACAAACCCGTCCAAGTGATAAGATAACCGTGACACAAACCAGAGCCCCGGAGGACAATTAGAGAACACCGTGTTAAAATTAATCAGGACCTACGAAATCCTTATCAGAGGATGTGAAACAGCAGAAAGAAGACGCAAGAAAAAATCAAATATATCGACCCGACACCCAGAATGGAATGGAGATAAGCTGGGAACGTGAAGAAGTCAGACAAAGGAGTTCCCAAAACATCAGAAATTTGGCAATAATGTTTGAATAATGCATGAATCATGAATATTCATGTGTGAAAAATGCACATTATATGATTGGCTCTTCGCAAATATTAAAATTAATGCTATATGCGTTATGTTGGAAAGTTGTGCTGTATTAATCTCTTTTAAGCAGTGCTGAGTTAATCTCTTTTACGTAGTGTGTTAAATATAGTTTTTAGGCTATTGCATAATACTAAAATAGAAAATGTGATGCAAGATACTTTTTGTAAGGATATTTTCCTTAGCTCAAGGAATGGACGAGATAACCGAGAAATTATTTGTACAGAGATAACAGCAAACAGACACCAAGACCTCAAGAGAAGAATTATTGCCTCCTTATCAGGAAAACCCAGATTTCGAGGAACCAAAAAGATTGATTTACAAGATGAGGAGGGGAAGCTGAAATTTAGCAGAAACACCCTGGTTTGAAAGGAATGCCTGAGTCATGTATGAGGTATATGAATATATTACTTTTAAGGGTTAATCCTTTGTTAGCCAAGCGTGCTTTGTGGCAGAGAGCAAAAACGCCCAACGTCTGTAATTCTTTGCTTTTTATTGCCTTTTATTGTCCTAACTTTGGTTGTCCAAATTCTTATTGTCCTGATTTTTATTCATATTTTTATTACTATTTTCATTGCTGTTAAACGTCTAAAATTTTAACGCAAGCGAATGGCGTTTTTCACACATGTATCTCAGCAATGTAACAGTATAAAGATAACACTTTATAAGATATATATTATTTATAAGATAACACAGTATAAAGATGTACACCGGTGTGTTCTTTATCTGTTGGCCAGGAGCACCCCAGCACTGAAAATACTCTTTTTTTTTTTATCCTATTACTATTACTGTCATTAATTTTATTATTAAACTTTTAAAAACTCTGTGGCTGTACCAGTTGTGAGTTTCTCTGGGTCTGGATTGAAGGCACTTGAGGTGGTATTTCACATTTGGACTCAAGTGTTTATTTTTATCAGTAAAACAGTCTCACAACGAATTTTATTTTATTTTATTTTATTTTATTTTATTTTATTTTATTTTATTTTATTTTATTTTATTTTATTTTATTTTATTTTATTTTATTTTATTTTATTTTATTTTATTTTATTTTATTTTATTTTATTTTATTTTATTTTATTTTTATTTTCTTGCCTGATAAACAACTGTTATCCCTGCTCCCATATCTTGGCCTGAGACCCCCTTAATTTCAAAATTATAATAATTCAGAGTTAGGGTGTTTACATTTTCCATTTCAGGGGAGGCTCCTGCCTTCCTTAACAGATACCTGTCTTTTCAAACCCGGGCACACCAGGACAGAATGTCACCCCCAGACCTGGATTCTTCATCCCACCCTTCACCTTGGAATGTTGAGGCCTTTTCTGGGTTGTTGGGGTAGAAAATTCGACTCATCAGGGGGTTGTTCCACTCTCAGAACCCTCTTCCTCCTCCTCCTCCTTTTCCTCTTCCTCCTGCCTGCAGGAAATCCTGGAATTCCAGGATAATTTGGGATGCGAAAGGACCTTCAAGACCATCCCCTGCCCAGGGAGCCCCTCTGTCCTTCCTCCTCATCCTCCTTCTCCAGAGGGTTACAGTGAAGGGAAAAATCATGGATTGAGGTAAATCCAGTTTAATAATTGGGAAGAAAAATTAAAATTTTTGGAAAGGGAGGCAAAAAAAAAAGACCAAAAAGTGAAGAACCACAGCCATGGCACATTCAGGGTCCCCCTGTCCCAACGTCCTGGTGGCACCCATGGCTCCGCTGTTGTCCCCTCCCTTGTCTTGTCTTGGTGGCCACAGAGGCCACGGTGACTTTGGAGACCTCAGTGACCTTGGTGGCCTCATGGCTTGGGGGGTGCAAGTGGCTTTGGTGACCGCGGTGACCGCAATGACCACGGTGGTCTTGGCAGCCCTAGTGGCTTAGAAGACCCCGGTGGCCACCGCCAGGGCTGCAGTGGCCAGGAGGAGCCCTCCGAGGTGGGGGTGGTCCCAAGGGGTGTCAGAGGGGTCGTGGAGTGACATAGGGGACAAGGGGAGCCATGAGGGGTGGCCATGGGAGGATGAGGGGTGACAGGGGCATGGGGGGCCATGGGGAGGGGACAGGCTTCAGGGGTTGCCATGGGGGTGGTTTAGGGGTCACAGGGTGCCATGGGGAGGGGTGACAGGGTGACAGAGGGGTCAGGGGGCCCAGCTCACCTGCGTCAAACACACAGGGCCCATCCCCACAGCGCTGCTCTGCTGAGGGGAGGGACAGCGTCAGTGCTGGGGGGGTCCCTGTCTGTGTCCCCACATGTGGGGGTCCCCATCCCTGTCCCCAGCACAGAATGTCCCTGTCCCCGCTGTGCTCACAGTGCAGGTGTCTCTGTCCCCTGTCCCTAGCACTGGGGGTGGCTCACAGCAGGTGTCCCCAGCTCTGGGTGTCCCTGTCCTTGTCCCCAGCAATGGCTGTTCTTGTCCCCCACCCACAGGGAGTGTCCTTGTCGCTGTCCCCGCAGTGGAAATTCATGCATCATGTATGAGGTGTATGAATATGCAATGGGCTGTTGCTTTTAAGGGTTAATCCTCTGTTAATGTGTGTCCTTTTTCGGGTTTATTTTGCCCAGAAAGAGGTACCTGGACTGTCCATAACTCTTTGTTTTTAGTGTCTCGTATTGTCCGAATCTCAATTGTCCAAATTTTTATTACTCTAATTATATTACTATCTTTATAACCATTTTATTGCTATTAAACTTTTAATTAATTAATTAAACTTTTAAAGCCAAGCGACTGGCATTTTCCACACCTGGGTCAGCAGGAAATGCAGCGTTTTGAAGTGGAAGTTGTCCCGGTATTCCCGGCGGGAGCGCCCGGCCGCGCGCACGGCCTCGTTGAACTCGCGGTGTAACGGCACCGGCGCCGTGTAGGCCAGCAGGGCCGTGGCCTGGGGTGGGGACAGAGGGGACCGAGGGGACCCAGGGGACAGCCGGACGCGCCACTCGGCCGCGGCCAGAGCCCAGGCCTCGGCGAAGTGACCGCCGTGCCGGAGCTCGGAGCGGTTGAGGGCCGGCAGCGCCGCGGCCATGGCGCGGCCGCAGCCCCGGTACTGGTCATCGAAGGAGTCCCGGGCCATGTCCAGGGCCACCACCACGGGGGTGGCAGCGTCACCGGGGGGGACGGTGGCGGCCGCGGCGGCCGCGGTCATTGCGGTCATCGCCAGGAGGGTCAGGGTCAGCGGGTCCATGGTGGGGGAGGCCATGGGATGTCCCCAGTGTGGGGGCACTGAGGGACACAGGGGGACACAAAAGGGCACTGGGGGACACCGAGGGGACACCGAGGGGAAGTGACTTCTGCAGAGACCCCCAGTTACCCCCCGGCCCCAAACCCCTTGTCCTCCCCGCTGCCCCCCAGGACCCCAATCCAAACGCTGGGATCGCTCCCAGTGCCCTGCCGTGACCCCAGTCACATTGCCATGGTCCCATGTCACCCCCTGGTGCCCCTCCAGGACCCCCATCCTGGGGTCACCCCCTGCCTCCCGGTTTCCTCCCTCCCCAAGTGTCCCCCAGTGTGCCCTGCCCCCCCAAGGATGCCTATCCCATGTCCCCCACTATGTCCCCCCAATT